CCCCCCCCCCCCACAACTCATTTTCATGTGTACTCTCTCAGACAGAAACACACATGCTATCCACGCATCTGCATCTGCAGCCTGGTGATGTGGACAGGACCATTGGAGGGATGAAGGCTACCACTTCTTTACTAGACCCTCGCCCGTCCTGGCTTATAAAAGTGGCCGGACAGGGACTGGCCAAGTGGGTCCGAGGGACAGCGAATGTCTCCTTGCACAAATAGCATCCCAGCATGATTAAAGGAGGCAACAATAAGAATATTATTGAAAAAGCCCTCCTTGAACCCCACAGTACTGGATAATTACCAGTCAGTCTCTAATATTCCTTTCTTGGGCAAGGTGCTTGGGTTGTGGCTTCCCAGATCCAGGGATTCCTAGATGAGATGGGTTATCTAGATCCATTTCACTCTGGCTTCAGGCATAGTTGTGGAACCGAGACTGCTTTGGTCGCCTTGGTGGGTGACCTGTACCAGAAACCGGACAGGGTGTGTTTGTTCCTGTTGGTTCTGCTGGACATTTCAGCAGCTTTCAATGCCATCAACCATTATGTCCTTCTGAGCTGTCTCTCTGGAATGGGACTTGGAGGCACTGTCTTACTATGGTTCCAGTCCTTCCTGGAGGGGAGAACTCAGAGGCTGGTGCTGGAGAGCTCATGCTTGAAACCCTGGTCATTGACTTGGTGTCCCTTAGGGATCTGTTTTGCCCCCTATGCTATTTAACATATACTTGAAACCACTGGAAGAGGTGGTCCAGAGTTTTGGAGTTTGTTGTCACTGGTACACTGATGACACCCATCTCTCTCTCTCTCTCTCTCTCTCTTGCTTTGGAGTGTTTCCAAAGGCGGTCATAGGCTGTCTCTCTGGAATGGGACTTGGAGGCACTGTCTTACTGTGGTTCCAGTCCTTCCTGGAGGGGAGAACTCAGCGGGTGGTGTTGGAGAACTCATGCTTGAAACCCTGGTCATTGACTTAGTGTGCTTCAGGGATCTGTTTTGCCCCCTCTTTTATTTAACATATACTTGAAACCACTGGAAGAGGTGGTCCAGAGTTTTGGAGTTTGTTGTCATTGGTACACTGATGACACCCAACTCTCTCTCTCTCTCTTGCTTTGGAGTGTTTCCAAAGGCGCTTGGAGGCACTGTCTTACTGTGGTTCCAGTCCTTCCTGGAGGGGAGAACTCAGCGGGTGGTGTTGGAGAACTCATGCTTGAAACCCTGGTCATTGACTTAGTGTGCTTCAGGGATCTGTTTTGCCCCCTCTTTTATTTAACATATACTTGAAACCACTGGAAGAGGTGGTCCAGAGTTTTGGAGTTTGTTGTCACTGGTACACTGATGACACCCATCTCTCTCTCTCTCTCTCTCTCTCTTGCTTTGGAGTGTTTCCAAAGGCGGTCATAGATGCGGCTAGCCTGTGGGGAAATGAAGGTCCTTTTTGCCCTGAGGAAGGCTGGTATGGTTTTTGTGTCTCTGCAGCGT